AAAGGGTCTCTGAGACCATAGGTTTATCTGCCCTGGTCCCCCCTCCCACTGCTTGCAACCAGCCAGCTGCTTGCTTGTGCCTTGCAGATGGTGAGAAGCCGGGCAGCGGTGATGTGATCCCCATGGAGGTTCTTGGCCCAGGTGAATGCAGGTGCAGGGCTACTTGTTTCCTGTGTGTGGGGGAGGGGAGTCTGAGATGGGCGATGGGCCAGGTGGTTTTGCCGAGAGGAGAGAGAGAGAGAGAAAGAGAACACGAACTGTGAAGGGTTTCCCAAGAAGTTCTGGTTGGAAAAGAGATTTGGTTTTTGGGTGCTCAGGGAGTGAGGGGCAGGGCAGCCAGGGAGAGGTCAGTGCCCGGCTAGGGTATCTGGTTTGCCAGCTGAGGAGATGCTGTGGAGTCCTGAGCTGCCAGTGGGGAGCAAGTGAGTGGCTGCAAGTCCTGAGTCGCATGAGGCCAAGGAATGGTGAGAGCAGGGTGGGAGGGGCTATGAGGAGACCTGTGCCTGGCGTCCAGGATGGTGCTGGGGCAGGGCAGGTGGGAGCCCTCCCCAGGTGCACCCTGTTCCAGAAGCTTCCTGTCTGGACTGAGAGGGAGGACCTGCACCTGTGGTACCTGCCCCTCAGAATTCCCCTCCTGCCCCCACCCCACAGACGGATACTCCACAGTGGACCGGAGGGAAAGGAGGGCTCGAGGCAGTGCCTCCGCAGGGGAGACCTCTGAGAAGGAACTGTTGAAAGTGAGTGGCTGTGGGTAGGTGCCCAGAGAGGTGGCAAGACCAGGGGTTGCCAGGAGAGGGGCCCAGGCAAGATGCTGAGTTTGGTCTGAGTCCTGGGGCCTGCCTAGGGTGGGGCTCACCTGCAGAGCACCTGGGCTGGGGAGTGGCCCTCCTCCCTGTTGGAAACTTCATGTCAGAGTCAGTCTGTGGATACAGCTGGTTCAAAGCTCAACATCCACTGGGAGGAAGGGGGCATGTGACAGAGGGCACTGCCCAACACAGTGCACAGGGTCGGGGAAGCCTGAGAAAGTGTGTCTGTACCCTTCTCTGCATGTGTGTGCGTGAGCGAGGTCCCGCCATGGTCCTATCTCCAGGGCAGTACCTGCCACCTGCTCTGCGCCAATCCACTGGCTTTGGGCACAGGCCTCTGTGCATCCACGAGTCACTCTGCATCTGTGTGAGCCACACTAGCTTGGCTCCCCTCCCCCTCAGCACTCCCCTCCTGAGCACCAGCATCGGCCCTGCCCTTCTGACCAGGCCAGCTCCCACTGTCAGCTCTGACTAACCTGCTCTGTTCTGCCCCTAACGCCCTCCTGCCTTCCTGCCCACCGCCTGTCTGCTACAGCCCGACCCCAGCAGGAAGGCTCCTCCTCCTGGGCCCAGCAGGCCCGCAGTCAGGCTGGTGGACGCCGTGGGGGACACTAAGCCTCAGCCCGTTGACTCCTGGGTCTAGCTTGCATGCCTGGTACGTTCTCTCTGGTTGTTCATCCACATGTTTCCTGTCCTTTGGGCAGGGGCTTCTCATGAATCTCTGGTGGCTGCATGCTCTGCTTTCCCTGCGTGCTCCCTGATGGGACCCCCGCTTTGGGCCCAGGCGGCCCAATGCCCATCGTAGGGAAGGACAAGCCAAGGTGTGAGAGGGAGGGGCCTCCCTGGGCCTGCAGCCCTGGCCCAGGCACTGTGCCATTAGGTCCCAGAGGAGATCAAGGAGAGCAGGGATGGTCCCCCTACACTTCCAAACACCCCAAGCACATGGCCCCTGAGGACCAGCAAGTTGGAATCGATCCTGGTGCTGAGACCCTCAGGGTTGGCCCATGCCATCCACAGCTGCTGTCTTTGTACTCTTTCATATACCTAGTCTGTGGAGGCAGCCCCCCTAAGCCACCCTGCTCAGCCTTCCCCTCTCCCTCCTCAGGGCCCGGGCCTAGCCTTTCATTCTTAGGGATCTGATCACGGGAAGAAGGGAACTCCAGGGGCTGCCTGCACAGACCCTGCCATGGAGCTTGGAGCCCCCTGGCGGCAGGGGTTGGCAGTGCCTCTGCGCTGGAGCCAAGGCCGGACTTTCTGGACACGCCTCCCTTTCTGCCCCCTCGATCCTTCCCTCCTAACTCCCTAGGCAGAGTTAGCTGTTTACTGACATGGTGCTGTGTGTGGGTGAAAGAGAAGGCCTGTGGGGCTCTGGGGCGGGGCCCAGGGAGGTGCCAGGAGAGGGGGCCTGATTTTGCTCTGGGGCTAGAGGAATAAGAGTGTGGCCCTGTGTGTGCAATGCCCTAGAGGAGTGGGATAGGCCAGCCCTGGGGGCAGGCAGCTGGGCAGGGAAGGGTGCTCTGAAAGAGTGTGACTCTGAAGGGTGGAGGGGATCCCCTGGGCTTCCGAGCCCCACCCTGCATGGCAGGCCAACCATGGGTGTGGGGCTGCTCCAGGGGGGGCTGGCCCACGCAGAGAGGGTTGGAGGCAGCGAGATGGGGGTCAGGCTGTGCTTGCCCCCACCCTGCCCTTGGATACGTGAAACCCAGTGCAGTGGGAGCCTCCCTGAGTGTCACTGGTCCTGGTGCGGCTCCCACATCCTGTCTGCTGGAGCCCTGAGTAGCGCCTTGGGGACTGACACCTCTGGGACTGACCCGCGGCAGCAGCAGGGAACTGCTGTTCAGTGCCTGCTGTTTGTGACTTAAAAACAGAAAACACTGACAAAAAGCATTAAAAACAAAACCAAAATAAAATTGTATTGGTAAACGTAAATTTTTGTAAGAAAATTTAAAAATTAAAAAAGCAACAAAGGAACTTCTTCTTTTCCATGGCTCGGACCTCTCGCCACAAGCTGCTCGCTCCTCCATTTGTCAGATGGGGAGTGGGGGGAGGTGGCCTCAGCTGTCTGTCTGCTGTGTCCAGCAGGGGCTCAACTCCCAGGCCCCATGGGTGTTTCCCCACACACATCCCCCCCGGATTGCTGCGACCTTCTTTCTACATGCAAAAAGGAGTAGGCTTGCTCCTGGGTGGTTAACTGGGTCCTGAGCCCCAGGGCGGTGTCGTGGCCAGAGGCTTCTCTGGGCATAGGTGGGCTCATGCAGGACAGGGTGATCCCTGGGGAGCCTCTGACGTGGCCAGAGGTCCAAACACTTGGGAGCTTGGGGCTGGAGGGACAGGGTCGGGGCTGGGGGCAGCTATGGATTTAAATAGACACAAGCCAACTCTACCTCATCACTTGACAGCTGCACAGCCTGCAGAAGTGGCACCTGGTCTGAGCCCACTGTCTCTTTCATAAACAAGGCTGAGTAGGACTGGGGAAGATGCTTCCACTCAGTGCCACATGGGCCAGGCGGAGAGACCATCCCTGGCATTGCTGCAGGGCCGAGTCCCCCTTACCCCACACCTGCTTGGTCAGAGATGGGTGTGAAGTGTGGCCAACTACCCAGTTCTGGTTTCCCAGGTGAGAGCCTCCGGGTGGGGGCTCAGCCCAGCCCGCACATATCCCTGTGGGCCTGTGACTTGTATCCTTGGCCTCGCCACAGGAGGAGCAGTGCTGGAACTAGGAGCCCCCTGGACTCATGAGCATTAGCATCCAGTCCAGGGGAGCACCATGTGTTTGCTCCCAAAGTGGAGGGCACCAGGGGCAAGAAGGAGCAGCGCAGTGGTTGAAAAGCACTATGCTGATCTCTTCTATCTAAATATTTAGATCTTTAATTACTATTTTAGTATCTTTTAATCATGATATTGGTCTATAAGATTAACAGTCAGCCGATTTTTAGTAAAGTTGCATTTATTCTTAAGAAGATGAAAGAATTCAGGAATCAGAAATGTGGTATATGGCTGGTGGTCAGTGCATCACTGAGGCACTGCTGCCACCTGGTGACGGCAAACCTCAAGGACAGACTGTGTGAGTGTATAGCCCATCAATTTCCAGATATTCCCAACTTCCCCGGACCTGTCCATGTAAGAAACCCTACTGGAATGCTGGTGGGGGTGAATGACAGTCTCAGGCACCACCTGCCCTGACGTGCCATCTTCAGATACTTTCCAGACTTATTGCAGGGATTCTGCATGGTGAGCCAGTTGCCCTTGGGGTGGATGAGTGTGTGATAGCTTGGAGCCACATGCAGAGGGGCCCGTGTAGGCAGGCCTTGGCCTTGCAGGTCTCAGGCGTGCTGCACTGAGGACAGACCCCAGAATTGCAGAAGCGGGGTTGGCAGAAGCACATCCCTTCCGCCCTTCTTAACCAGGTTTGGTGAGGGGCCCCAGAGCAGGGTAGGCAGTCAAGGCTGTGCCGGGCTGCCCGGGCCCATGTAGACGGCCTTCTCCAGGCCATCCACCAACTCGGAGTACTCCAGGTAAGAGGAAAAGTGAGTGCACTCAAAGCGGCTGCTCCTGCGCACGTGTGCCAGGAAATCCGGTGCACCTGGGAAGATGACGTTGTCAGCCAGCAACACTGTCCCCTTCCGTAACAGGCCATACTCCTGCAGGGGACAGACGGTTGGAGGGGGTGACGGTCAGCGGTACCCAGCGAGCCTGCTCCAAACAAGCAGGACAGGTGCGCCTGGCCAGGCAGAGGCCCCAGGGTTAGCCGCACCCCAGTTCCTGGGATCACGGGGGTTTCCCCCGCAGCCCTCCATCTCCTCCCCAGCAGCAACCACTGCAGAAAAGTGCTGTGCTGAGAGGGTCTCCCCTCTAGCACGTCAGCTCTATGAGGATGGATCCTTTCCTCCTCCATTCACTCTTGCATCCTTGGCCTCTAGAACAGTGTGCGATACAAAGGTACTCACTAAATGCTAGCTGGATAAGTGATTGGAGATGATGGGGCCAGGATTTGGGCCACAGTGCTAAGGCCAGTGGGTCCCTCCCTGATCACTTGGTGCCAGGAAAACATTACTTCCCCAGGTAAGAGAAATGCCTGGTGCCCAGTGTGTGGGCTGCTGGGAGTGGTCACTGGAGGTGGGATCTGGTTTGACCAGGGTGATCCTGCAGGGCTGGGGGCAGACCTCCCCACCCAAAAGCCTGTCCCTCAGGGGTCCACTTTGGACACCCCCAACCAAGCTCTGGCATTTGACGCCAGAGTCCCAACTCCATCAGCACCTGGGTCCTGGCAGCCAGCCGGCGTTCCCCGGCCTTGGCTCTGCAGAAGGACGGAGGAGTGGCTGGCTGGACACAGCCAAGGTCCTCCAGTGGTCAAGTTCTCTCTAAACTGAAGGTGGAGCTGCTTAGATTACGTGAAACAATAGAATGAGTAACCTTAAGAGAAAATGTTGCCTTGTGTCCTAGATTTAATTTTGGAAGCATATAATTTTTTTTTTAACATAATCTTAACAGTTAAGAAAAATTAGCAATCCCAAACATGGAAAACAAAGTCAAACAAGTGACCCCAGGTGTGTCTGAAATTGCCATCAGGACCACATGTGTGAGGCATCTCCAAGTAACTGAAAATTGTGGGGCTATAACTGCACCCCTCCAGGGATGTGCCCTAGGACACAGTCTTACAGGGGTCTCAGCCCTTCTGGCGGTGGCTACGGTCACTTCCAGCCTGCGGGCTGTGGGAGGAGCTGAGGGCCTTCCAGCAAGAGCTGTGGAAAACAGCTGTGAGGTCAGCGAGGCTGGGAAAACCTCCGAGCCAGAATTTGAACAGAAAGTACCAATATGAATCATGGAGCCTTTTCTCTTAAAACCAGAAAAGGAAAAGAACTTTCTAGCAATATTGTCTAAAAAGAGAGCAGACCAGGAGGAGGTGTCCCTGGCCTGGCCCCAGAAGGGCAGCTCAGGTCTGGGACAGGAAGGAAATGCACAAAATGAATGGGGAACATGGGCTCCAGCCTTGTAGGGCTGGCTTCAGGGTTGTAGGGCTGGCTGAAGGACTAGGGGCACTGATGGCAACAGATGGGACTATCAGTGGATTGAAAGACACCAGACACTAAAAACCATCAAGTTAGCCAGGGAAGAAGGAACAAACGGAGGAAAGCTTTGGTCACCTTTGGAGGATGCTTGAGGAAGCTGGTCGTAAGGGGGAAGAAGGTACCACCTGCGCTGCCTTTCCCCAGATACCATGTGCCTCCTGACAGAGGACACAGACCCCGTGGAGACGCCTGGCCAGAAGCTCATCGCATCTGAGCAAGCCTGTTGTGCTAATAGCCATGGGGAGGAAATGGTGTTCAGAGGACCAGGGAGCCAAGTCTGAGGTGGTTTTAAGCTATGTTCATAGTTCTTTGACTTTCAGGAGGTGGTTGTGGGCTGGGCTTAGTGACTAGCTTCTAACAGAGAAGAAGGCTGAAGTAAGTGAGTGGCTTCAGAGACTAGGTCATATACAGAAACTGGCCCCCCAGTTGCTTCTTCTGTCTCTGTCTTTTGCTCTCATCGCTGGCTCTGTGGGAAGCTAGATGCCATGTTGTGAGGACATTCAAGCAGGCCTGTAGAGATATTCATGTGACAAGGGACTGAGACCTCCAAGTGGCCATCCGACTGAATTGCCACCTGCCTCTGCCAGCCCTTTTCCCCTGACTGTGGGGAGGTGCAGCTGGGGTGCCATGGAGCCATAGGCCCTAACCAGCCCAAATCAGGGGCCTGCAGGGCCATGGCTGCAGGGCTGCAGAATGCAGGCTTAACAAGTACAGCCATTGGGCCGGCCGAGTGGCGCGTTGGTTAAGAGTTGGCTTGGGACGCCAGCTCTGAGCAGCAGGGCCCCGGTTAGGATCCCACGTGAGGGCCAGTGATGCTGCGCTCTCTACAGCTAAGATGGTGAACAACAGCTCAACCTGGTGCTGGGCTGCTGTGAGTCGCCGGCGACAGCGTAGGCTGCAGTGGAGCTGCAGTGGGCTGCCATAAGCTACCGTGAGTGGCTGGCAGTTGCTGTGAGCTGCTGTGAGCGGCTGTCCAATGGCCCGCGAGCGACTGCCTCACCCGGGAAGAGCGCAATGATAATACCAACATGGGCCAGTGAAGCTACGTCCTCCACAACTAGACTGAAGAACAAAAAGGATAGCAACTTTTCTGTTCCCTTTCCCTGATTCCCCAACGCTGTTCCCCTCCCCCAATTCCCCAATAAAACCTTAAAAAAAAAAAAAAAACACCTAGAAAAAGAGGGAAAAAAAAGTACAGCCATTCCCATTCAGGACTTCTCTTCTTTTGAGATAATTACCAACTTTGAAAAAGGAGCAGAGAGAAAACTATGTTTCCTAGTTACAAAATGGCAATATTTTCTGCTTTTCTGTAAATGCAGGGCCCTATAATTATCATACACACCAAAGCTGCTGAAATCCTCCCGCTCCCTGTGATGCAGGTCCAGCTGCATTGGCTACCTGGTCTCTGCCCCAATACCTGATTTCCAGGTTTGTGCCCCTCTGCCTGGTGGGCCTTCCCAGTCTGGGCTTACTCCCCACAGCTGCCCCACTCCTGGCCCATGGGTCTCCCTGTCATTCCTCCACTGACTGCCTGTACAGGCCAACACAAGTGACCGGTCCAACTTCTAGTCCCTTGACTCCCTCTCCACTCCCAGCACCTGGTGTCTCCCCAAGGTTCCAGGCATCTGCACCTCTCCCCACAGCCATCTCTTGCCACTCTCCATGAACGTAACAGGGATCTTTCCTGAAGACAGGTCTGACCTCATCCTCACCTGCTTAAGAGTCCACGTGACCCACCCATGTGGCATTTGAGGCCCTCCATACATAGCCCTGGTCCACTGCCCCAAATCTGCTCATTCCTGGAACATTCTGTGCCTTCACACCCACCAGGCCAGCGCTGTTTCCTTCCAGCTGTGTCCAGAAGCCTGGTCCTTCACTTGCACCAGAACCACTGGGCTTGAGGTGCTGCCTGGCGTCTAGCCGTGGCTTTGGTGGCCATGCTCTCCATGCTCATGGTCCCTCTGCACTGGGCAGAGTGTCCGGCCCATGGGGGAGATAAGGTGGGTGAGCACAGGATGGACAACATGGGACAGCCCCAGGCTGGCCCTCAGGCAGAGAGGCTGGGGTGGGACCGAGCATCCCAAGCCCAAAATGAGAGCCAAGGAGCTGCTAAGTGTCCGCTTGATTACCCACCCAGGAGGGACAAGGCAGTGTTTGTCAATTTTAAGCTCCACATGTAAGCTCACTAAAGGCCCCAAGCTCCACCTTCCTGGGGACAAGGCAGCCCCACTGGTCACCACTTGGTGCTGGCTAAGCAGCTGGCACTGAAGGCTGGGACAGTCTGGGGGTGGGATTGGGGAATGGGGGTACAGGGGATGCACAAGTAGCTTCAGGAGGAAGAAGGGCAATAGATGCCGATTTCCCTAGCCAGCACCAGCCATCCAGTTGTGAGAGCTGGCACGGCTGCCGCCTCTGCCCTTGCCCTTTGAGATCAGACCATCTGATCCATGGGCTCACCTCACCGTGCCACCCCAGGAACAGGCTGCCCAGAACCACGTTCCTCCGGTCTCCATCCTGCCCTGGGGCCTCCTCCAGTCCTCTGTGCTTCCTGACCTTAGGCAGGCCAGCGCAAGCTACCTGTGGCCCCTAGGGCCCCCCTTGGCAGGGCTTGGCCAGGACACCTGGCTCTTCAGAGAGGCTGAGGCCCACCAATGGGGCAGCCCTTGCACCTGCAGCCAGCCCATACCGGCCAGGCAGTTGTGTGGCTCACCTCCAGGAGGAGTGTGTCTGGCAGGTACCGTTCCTTCCAGTGGTCGATGAAGACCATGTCCAACGTATCCACATCATATTTCTTCTTCAGCTGGGGGATGATGTCCTGGGACGCCCCAATGATAACAGTTACCTGGAATAGTACTCCATTAGTGACTGCACCCATGGGGGTCAAAGAGATCACCCTGCCTGGACACCCTACAGTTTCTTTGGGGTTCTGGGGAGACAAATCCCACCCACTCTGCTTCCTCCCTTTGGGGGCAACCTTAGGAATTTCCTGCTCTGTGGAATGGGGCAGTGAGACCGCCCTCACAGAGCTGCTGGGGGATCTGTAAAACCTGGCCTAGGAGGCACTGTGGACCTGGCTGCAACAGGGAAAATATGGCCTTGAACCATGCAGGGCGTCCTCCAGGCCCTCCCCCACTCACCCACCTGCACTGGGCCCACGGAGCCTCAGTGTCCACATCTGTCACGGGGGAAAGTGCTGTACCTTGTCCTGCAGGCCTGCAAAGTCCAGCATCTGCTGGGTGATGGCGGCGTAGTCAGGATTGACCTCGATGGTGAGCAGGCGGGCACTGGGTGGCAGTAGGCGAGCCATCCGCACGGCCGAGTAGCCGCAGTAAGCCCCCAGCTCCAGCAACACAGAGGGGCACTGCTCCCGAACCACTGTGTCCACAATCTGGCCTGAGGTGGGTGGAGGAGGAGGTGAGCACAGGCCGAGGGGGAGACCCACTCCCAGTCCTGGGCCTGACTGTCCCTCCTGACTGAGCAACAACTTCTCCTAATGCCTGGTCCCCAGCCCTAGCCCGAGGTCCTGGTCCCACTGCACATACCCTCTGAGCTCCCATAATCCCTCAGGCCCCTGTATCTTTGCACACGCTGGTCCCTCTCTCTTATCAATGGTTCCCGGCTGACTCTAACTCGTCCTAACCCAGAGCTGCCCTCTGCAGATACCCCCACTCCTCCTTGCCAATGGGCTACACTCAGGGTCTGCCTCACTCCCTCGAGCTGGACACTGTGAAGGGCTCTGAAGGGGCTGGACAGTGGTTGTCACGTCTGTCCCCAGCACCCAACTCCAGGGGGTACAGAACAACACATGCCTGTGCCCCGTGCTGGAGTCCAAAGGTTAGAAGGTGGCTGGGGGGAGGGCCGGGCAGAGTCCACGGAACCCTGTGCACCCTCATGCCCAGCAGTAACACCCAGGAACCTACTGCCCACCCTGCACTAGCCCCCGACTCTGCAGGATGGTGAGTACAGGGCCTATACGGAGCCCCTGCTGTCACCTCCAAATAATATTGCCTGATTTTGTCTGTGCCAAGTGGGGGATCCTCAACAGTGGCCTCCTGGGTGGTTTATCAAATGTCCCTCCCTCCCCATGGGGACAGAGAAGTGGGTGTCAGGGTCTCTGCGCAGCCTTTGCCCCTGGTTGGGAGTGAGAAGTTGGGCTGGTGGCTTGGGCCCCCAGGACTCCAGATGAGCTCCTACCCCAGCACCAAGAAACAGGGTGATAACAGGCCCCTTCTGTAGGGACTGTGCAGCCTGGCCTGGGGTCCCCATTCCTGTATTCACCAATTGCTGGCCAGGCCACCCACCTTTCTTGTCGCCCACATTCATGGCCCATTCCTTCTGTGAGCAGTAGGCATCGATGGTGTCCAGCACGCTCTGTGGGTCCCCGGCCACTGCGTGCTGCAGCACATAACGCAGGATGCGGTGCTCCTTGCTGTCACCCACGAACATGTTGTAGATGGGCAGCAGGACCAATTCATTCCAGCCGACAAAAATCCAGCCACGGTATTGCTGGAAGAGCAGTAGCACCAGCAGCACCAGGGCTAATAAGAAGGCTGCCAACAGCAGGGGTGGAGCTTCTAGCATCTGAGACAGGGCAAGGGTAGGGTGGGGAGGAGGGGAGAGAAGGGAGAGGAAAGGCGGGGGGAGGACAGTTACCTTCAGTGCTTTGTGGGCCAGGCAGCCCCTCAGCCAGCTAGGGAGCTCAAAGCCCCTTGGGTTAGTGCAGACCTGCTCTCCTGGCTCACCTGTCCTCTCCTCAGTTTGGTGTACTACCGTTGTCCCCCTTGTGCTGATAGGGGCCCAAGGACTAAGAGGTCAAACAAGTGCCTTAGTGCCAGGGGAGCAGGGGCCCAGCACTCCTGCAAACAGCTTCCAGCTAAGGCTGCACTCTCAGTCACACAGAGCAGGTGTGTGTCTGACTGCCTGGTGGCCTGCTGGTCATAGCCCCCTTCTCCGTGCACCTTCCCAGACAGCCTGGGGTCAGCTGCTGCCCCAACTGAGGGAGACACAGCTGGCCCAAGGCAAGGACACATGGCACAGGGGAGGCCCTGCCCCATGTGCAGTCCCTGTAGGCTCCCACTCGGGATAGCCTGAGATTCTCATAAGGTCCATTAAGTGAATTTCCAAATAAGGACACAGGCAGTCCCCAGGCCAGGCACACTCACCACTCTCCTTGGGGACAGCCGCACATGGCAAATCTGTCCCTCGACAAGGAAGTCCAGCCCTGCTGCCTGCACTACACCACGAAAGATGTGCCAGCTATGTATCAGCCACTACAGCTGCGCACGACCACATCCTGGCACACCACCCTTCGGGCAGGTAGCTTGGGACCCAGTCACATGGAGCTGGGCCCAGGGCCCCAGAGACAGGGAAAGGCTGAGTCCACATAGAGCGCAGTTCAAAATGTTCAGGGCACATGCTCAGATTTCAGGCCAGAGACCTTTACATGTTAAAGGACGAAAAAATGAGGAATGTGGGAGGCTTCCACCAGGGCCATGGTCACTCGTGGGTCATTCACAAAAAAGGCTCTTGGAACTCTAGTGGCCACACAGGGCCATGCTCTCCGAGAAGCTTCCATTTAGAAAAGCACACCCAGAAGAGCAGGTAGGCCGAGGATCTTGGAGGGGAGGCATCTTGAGGACAGCTCAGTGCTCCGAACCCCAACGCCCTGGCCTATGAGGAAGAGTGGGCTTGGTGGATAGAGACAAGAATGAACAGGAAAGCTGAGACTCCGCCCAGGGGAATGTCAACACCCAGATCTCTAGATTCTCTCAGGCCAAGTGGCCTATTTACACAAGGCCGAGAGGACACATGCTTAGCAGGTCCAAGTCTGCGCACCCAGTGGGCCTGATTCCTTCCTCGGCCCACCCCTGCTCCCAGCACTACCCCGAGCTTCAGAGCAGCATTCCCAGCCAGCGCCTGCCCTCTGCACTCCTCTGAGCTCAGCAGCAGGCAGACAGAACTTTTGCAGAGTTCTTTTGCCTTGAGATCATTATCAGTAGAGAACGTAACCTGAAAATGACCAGCGCCCAGATATCCAGGCTGCCTCCCAGAGGCTAGCCTTGCCCTCCACCTTGCCCTCCTCGGAGGAGCAAGCACAAAAGGCCTCAGAGAGGCAGCAACAGCACAGGACACTGGGGACAGTCTCTCTGGTCCTCGCCAGCACTGCCCGGGTTATGAGGAGCAGGAGAAATTAATGAACCACTTTGCTCAAACCCTTTTTCTCAGGAAAGCAATCATCAATTTACAATTGACATATAGGACCAAGGGCTAGTTACAAACAGCATGTATGACTCAATGAGAAAAAGACAAGCCAAGAGAAAAGTGGGCCAAGGCAGCGAATACACAGCTTATAGGCCAGAAAATGAGCAGGCATGGGAAGCCAGGTGCAAGACTTGACGCCAGCGTGAATACCCGTGTTGGGTGGACCCTGGGCCCCACCAGCCTGATGGACTGAGAATTGGGCCATCTTTCTGCCAGAGCTGCTGGGGACCCACTGGGAAAGGCCCTCACAGGACAGGA